CAAGAAAAAATTAAGAAGTCATAAGGTGCTGACCTTCCCCTATTTGGGGAGTGGTGGTTTTTGTAAAAAAAAATATTGCAGACATTTTGTAAAATTTTGTAAAAAAATTGAAAAAAATCGATTAGGCCGGTCGGCGAAAATGTCGATAAAATCGGAGAAATGTTTGAAGTTGACCGCCATGGATTCAAAAAGACACCAATTAACAAAAAACAAGTGAAAAAGCATTAACTTCGGCCGGGCCGAACTTTGGATACTCTCCACCACAGGTATACTGACAGGTATTTGAAATGAAAAAGTCAACCGATATTTATAATTTTTAATAGAGATATTTGGTACCCACTAAGAACCCAATGTACCAAATTTCAGTGAATTCGGTAGAAAAGTGCGCTCAAGAACCCCAAAATACCGAAAATTGGGGGGTACCTTTATATGGGGGATATCCAAAAAAATTGACCCATATTTATAATTTTTTGTGGAGAGATTAGGTACCTACTAGGAACTCAAAATACTAAATTACAGCCAATTCGGTGTAAAAATACGATAAAAACCCCCCAAAATACTGAAAATTAGGAGGCACCGTTATATGGGGGCTACAAGAAAAAGTGGACCTATATTTATAATTTGTTGGGAATATAATTTCTACCCAATAAGAACCCAATGTGCCAAATTTCAGCATATTCGGTTGAAAAACGCGCTCAAGAACCCCAAAATAGCCCAAAAATTGGGGTGTACTGTTATATGGGAGCTATACCTAAACGTGGACCAATATATCTCATCTTCGAACTTGACCTGCCTGCAAAAAAAAAAAAACAAACCAATGCAAAATTTCAGCACCCTCTCTCAATTCCTTCCAAAGATAGCGTGATTACAACATACGGACGGACAGTCGGACGGACGGTCATGGCTAGATCGTCTTAGAATTTTTCCCTGACCAAGAATATATATACTTTGTAGGGTCGGAAATGAATATTTCGATGAGTTACAAACGGATTGACAAAATTAATATACCCTCCATACTATGGTGGAGGGAATAAAAAAGCTAGATGGCTCGAATTTCCATTCCTTGGCTAAACGGAGAAATGGATTACATACGAAAATCTTGTGCGAAAACTATCGTGGTCAACGAGCGGTTTGAGGTGCTTAAACGGCGGCCAAACCAGAACTAAAATTTCTTTGTGATAAAAAATTGGCAAATAGAGAGCAGGACTTCTATGAGAGAGGTATTATGAAGTTATCTTTAAAATGGCAACAAATCATACAACAAAACGGTGCAGCATGCTATATAAATAAAATAAAGCATGTTAAATAAAGTCCTATAGTTCATATAAAAATAATGGATTTCTTTTCCCCAACCTAATATTTTATTTCGGGCCTAATATATTTCACTGTGGGTCAGGAAGTAAATTTTTTGCCCAATTGTCCGTTTCAAGTAGAGAAAAAACGTTATGTATTTCTGGAAATTTGAGCTTTACACAAGTAAACCTACTGCCAAGCAGTGCCAGAGGATATTTAATGGTTATAGTTGATATGTTCTCGGTCCAGAATTTTACGACTGTTCATAAACTTAAGAGTTATTGCCGATAATATCAAAATAGTCGTTGAACATTTTATGTAAAAATTTAACTTGACTTTTACTAACATAGCATACTGCTGACAAAATTGGAAGATATTAGGCTTTCGCCTTCAACCAAATTGGAAGTAATTTGGTATTTGGCTAGCCCTCATATAACGATGCATTTCTAACTTTTGTTTTCGGCAACTCCACGTTTTTCAACCAAATTGCCTGTAATTTAGTATTTGGAATTATCATTGCCAGTGAAATCTTAGCACCAAAAAATATCAATATTGACTTATGTTTTTGTCATTTTACACAGAAAGGTTGATTTAATCCACTGAATATTGGCCGATAACTATCAAATCAGTCCTTCTAATTATTGGGCCGTTAGGTGTATAATTGTGTATGTAAATGTCAACATTGGTGTATGTACTTGGACGGGGGAGTTCTACGTAAATATTTACAGATGTCTACCTATTTTGATACATACTGCTAGACCTTGTCCTGCACTCTTTGTACCGATAATAACAATGGCAAGAAAAAGAAAATGAAATAACAAGAACGTCAGCGGGAACAAATCGAGATGTACAGGAGTCAGAACGAAGTCCGGAAATTTTACCAACGAATAAAACACCAAACCGAAGGCCTGTATAGATGAAGATGGAAACCTGGTGATAGATACAGCTAGCGTGTTGAAGATCTGCAAGGAGCATTCTGGTATCAGCCGAACTATTCAAGATCGATGGTCAGATGCTGATCAGGTGTACACATGTTACTCGACAACGCCGATGACATCGACATAATGGGTCGAAAATTGCGAACGGTATAAGCTACCTTTAAACAAATTGAGAAGGAGTTTGCCAAAGTAGGTCTGGCAGTAAATGACGAGAAGAACAAACTTATGGTATCAACGCATAAGACGTCCAGTAGACTAGGACCAACTGTGGAACTTGAAAACTACAGCTTCGAGTTAGTCAAAGATTTTATATACATTAGTACCGCCATAAATAAAACTAATGAAATGAGTTCTGAAATTCGGAGAAGGATTGTGTTGGCTACAAAGGTTACTATGGTATAAGTAAGCATTTTAGAATCAAGGCCACCTCTCGCCCTGAATATCATTTCGTCGACGTTAAATATCGGCATCGAATGAACCACGAGCTACACAGTAGTCGTACAGTCAGTCGTATCGAGCTGCTGCGACTACGGTGGCTAGGCCATGTTATGCGAATGAATGAGTATACCCCAGCTCGAAAGGCATATAAAAACGAGCCTGCTTGTGGTTCACGCAGAAGGAAAAGGACACGATTTTGATGGAAATATCAAATGGAGGATGACATATCAAAGCATGGTCTTGCGCACAAGATCGACGCACATGGAGATCTTTTTTATGTTCTCCTTATGGAACAAATGTTCTGTCTCGAGCCAGCTTAAGAAAAAACTACCTGTTCGGATATTGGTTAGTTACTATTAATATGACTGAAATTACTTGTCTTTGTGGCATGATGTTTTCTGAATTGGTGTTGTTAATTTCTATGTTTTCATGTTTCCTGATTTTAGTTGAATGCCCAACATTGCGATCGTGTTCCTAGCGTTGCCCTTTAGGCAGAACTGAGACTTTTGCATCCTCGTACACCGTTCTATTTATTCAGATTATTTTCCATATTCCTCCCATATGACAGCTCGTCTGATAATGTCAAAAGCAAAAACAAAGTACTTATTTGAGCGGATGTGTGAAATGAAATTGTTGTGTATATCTCAGAATTTAACCTCTACCTTGCTCAAGTAAAATAGTCGTCATATGACCAGTTTTGTGTACCCTGAGATTTGTGTATATACCTTAATTATCCACAAGAATATGTATTTTATATCCCAATTTTCTTTGGACCAAATCCGTTTCAAACAATTACCTGCTCAAGATAGCTCACGAAGGTAGTATCTGATTTTATCCAAACACATCACAATATTTCTTATAAATTTTAAGAATATTCAATTTCATCCAAATTTACCACATCCGAATATATTTACCAAGGTGCCACAAGGGTGGTGATCTACCAATTGTTAGAGATGGTATTTACCGGGTAAATACCCAAGGGGTGGGTAAATACCCAAGGGGTAGGTAAATACCCATTTGCGGGTATTTACTATATTGAATCGGTAATACAACATCTTACACTCTATTACCGGGTTTCTGTTATCAAATCCATTTAGAATGGATAGTTTTACGATACTTTAAAGTCGTGGGTAAATATGGGGGTTATATCAAAAATTTGACCCAGGGACCCCATTTCGGATTTTTATATTTTTTTTGACATTAAAAACATGTATGCACAATTTTGGCCACCTATGTCAAGTGGTTCGGCAGTTAATGAGTTTATACCCAATTTTTGGGTAAATACTCAAAATAGGGGTATCTTTGTATGGGGGCTACCAGTAAACGTGGACCTACATACATACATTTTTGCATGGACATTTGTTATCCAAAAAGAACACTGTGTGCCAAATTACACCCAATTTGGTTTCATAATGTGTCTAATAGACAAAAAATACCTTAAATCGGGAGATACGGTTATATTGGGGCTATATCAAAATTTGGACCCAGGGACCCCATTTTGGATTTATATAATTGCTTTGACATTAAACACGTGTTTGCAAAATGTTGGCCGCCTATGTCAAGTGGTTCCGCAGTTAATGAGTTTATACCAAATTTTTTGGTAAAAACTCGGGTATTTACCCAAGTATTTACCTACGTCTTTAAAGTATCATAAAACTATCCATTCTAAATCGATTTGATAACAGAAACCCGGAAATAGGGTGTAAGATGTTGTATTACCTATTCAATATAGTAAATACCCAAATAAATACCCAAAAATGGGTATTTACCCAATTTACCGGGTATTTACCCACTGCCCATTGTGGCTCCTACCCATTTTGGAAAATTCTTAAAAAAATTTATGAAGCTAATGACGCATGCGATTTGATTCATATATATATATAGGATAGGATATATATCTGACACTTTTTTAATACCGTTCGTAGCTTATAATAGGAATTTCAAAAACTCCTACCTTAACTGACCCTAACTGACATATATTCCCGATTTTAGCTTCTGATCTTCCGTCTGGAGAAGCAGTCAGTTATCAGCAGGATATATTTTAACTAACTATTTTCATATATGTGTGATGAATCGTTTTATATTTTGTATTCTTATAAACTCTATTCATTTTTATTAAATTAAAATTAAATTCCCCAAAGAAATTGTTATCTCTTTAAAAACAATTAGAAACCATACTTCTTCACATACATCTTTTCATTTCATCCTCTTTTGAACATTGAATGTACACAACGTTGGTATTTCTATAGATCCACTTATCCAATATGCATATCTACACCGATTCACACAAATACATCCATACACTTAAAGACTACAATACAACAAACTTACCTTACGCTCGTGTTCATCTTTCGCCAGTTGGCCACCACCGCTGACATTGTTATTCTCGCCATCGCCATCAAATGGTGCGGGTGTTGTCGGGATATCGCATTCTTCTGTTGGTGGCACAACACAGCGCAATGAATGCCTATCGAAAACAAGCATAGCCGGGCAACGTTGCAAGCGTGGATAACCGCCCTGGCATTGCCAATAACGATTGCAGGATTTGCCCAGAGGAACATTACCGTTGGGGTCATCATTGCAGAGAGCTGGATTTTTGTCGGTGTTGTTGTTGTTGTCGATTTTTTTTCATTTTCAGGATACAAAGTGGAATCATAGACATCCACCATTCATTTCGTTTCATTCAAACATGGTCGTCATGGAAGATAAATGTAAAGGTGTAGAAACGATGTTTGTGGTTCCAAGAATGTTGTTTGGTAGTCAAAGAATGAGGCATCATGTTGTTTTGTATGTGTTGGTGTGAGAGTGTGTTATTGATGTTGTAGTACCATGTTGTAGCAGCCAGAGAGGAGCATAGTTTACAGCATCCACATTGAAGAAAAATGGAAAAGAAGAAAGAAAACAAAAACAACATAGTAAATTTACATAAATCATTGAAATATTTACAATCATTAAAATATGTTCATTTTAGTATACATTACTAAATATACATCCATACATACAAGGTATGTTACTGCTTACATTTATTTGGCATTGACTATCGAGAACCTCTGGAGAGTTCTTCAATATTTGTTTACAATATTGTTTACATATCATACAAAATTTAGTTGAACATTACCGGAAAATTTGTTTAAGGACGATGTATTTTAAAGGATCATAAATTTTAAATGTGGTCAATATTTTATTTTTAAAAATGTATACTTCATTTAAGTACAATTAAAAAGTAAATATATTAGAGTTTAGATATTTTATTACGCAAAGGCCCATACGAAACAACTGAAGGTAGAATATTAAAATTTGGCATAATGGTTAGTTTTGGCGCATAGGCGTATGATGAGGGTGGATTTTTGAAAATTACTACAAAACATGGTGGCGTAGGGGATGATAGATACCAAGCAACGGCTCTGAAGCCCAGGCTTATCTTGGTTCCTCTTTCATCTCAATTGTGGATATTGACCTCCCCGCGGTGTCACCTGGGGTAACTATTTTCATCACCCGTTGAAATAGTTGAAATGGGTTGAGGCGTCGCGTTTGTTGCCCACACTCAGAAAAAAGCAATGAAAAATCAACGAAAAAGAAAAACAAACCAAACACGATCTGCAAATCTGCACTTGGAATGTGCATACGTTGTATAGAACAGGTGCAGTTTTCGCTTTTCGGATGTATTCAAGAAGTACAAATCCGATATTATTCCCTTACAGGAAATGCGATTGAAAGGGACAGGCGTAAGTAAATGTAATTATTACGCACTGTATTATAGCCTTCATGAAAACACTTATGGTCAACAGGATGAGCGAATTACTCTAATCCGTATAAAGCGAAGTTCTTCTATATCAAACTCATTTGCCGACCGAAGATAAAGATGAACAGACTAAAGACATATTTTACGAGCGCCTAGAAACAGCATATGATCGTTGCCCTGGCCATGACATTAAAATTCTGCTGGGAGATTTTAATGCAAAAATGGATTTTATTAGGAAAATTTTTTCAAGGACTATAGAGGACGTGGATTATTAGAAAATATTTTCTCAATGGCTAGAAGGAGGAGGATTTTTAAATATTTTTTTCAAGGACTGGATTTTTTAAAGAATTTTTCTTCAAGGACTATAAAAGGAGTGAACTTTGTAAACTCCGACAGGAGATGAAGATGAGCAGACTCAAGATATATTTTATGAAATATATTTTACAGCATATGACCGCTGCCATAACCATGACATTAAAATTATGCTAGGAGATGTTACTGCAAAAATCTGGCCCAACGGTGATAAAATACAGCCTCCATGAAGAAACTTCCGACTACGGCAAGAGGCTGATTGACGCGGCGACAAAAATTATGGTGACTTCAGACTTAACAAATCCACCATAGACAGATTTCTACACTGCGCCAAATCCGGGAAATGACCCACAACAGCTCTATCCGATTAGATGTGTTTTAAGTCATGTCTGCGTTCGGCATTCTTGCAAAATTAATACAGATATGCAGGATAACCGTAACTTGAACAAGATCAGCAGTTAAAGTCGTAAAAGACCACTAGGAGCCCGTCAATAACGAACGTGGGTTCAGACAAGGTGACAGCCTATCGGGTGACCTTTTTTACATACTACTGAGAAAGACAATACGAGATGCAAAGGTGAACTGAAATGCATCGGATTTTCAGATAATAAACGCGATTATAGTACTTGGTTTAATCAACCGATTGAACTTATATGTATATAATTTCAAAGCTAACAATAAATAATAAAAAAAAACAGTGAGCGGAGCAGTATAGTCGGACGGGGCCGAACATATGATACCCTACACAACTTCCACGAAAATCTAACTTTGTGTGGTTCTATATTCTGATCTTGGGCAATATTTGCACTCTCTTCACCGTGGGTTGTGTTGTTATGTTCGGATTTCAATTGTGGCCTATAGATCGACTCAAAAAACCCCCAAAAAATTAAGTTTTCAGTCCACTTTATCCAAATATTATTATCTGATCATCACCGAAAACTACAGGCGTTGTCCTTGACCATACCTGGATCCACATAGAAAATTTCAAAGCTATCAGCGCTAAACAATATTTAAGTGTAACTTCCACATCTGAATATATACGACAATGTAATTGGTATCAATTTGAAGGCCAAATACTCCTCTTGGGTATATTTTCAACTTCTTGGGTCTTGTCATTCAGGGGTAAATATATACGTTATAGAATACACATTTTGCAATTGTTCACACAAAAGTCAGGGTTCATTTGACCCGCTAAATATTGACCAATCTCTATCAAAACAGACATGGTTATTCTTTGGCCCAATCCCCTTCTCCATGTAAAAATTAGATGTGTTTGGGCCATAATTGCGGCCTCTGGAGCGACCAGAAAATCAGACAAAAATAAAGTTTTTGGTCCATTTCACGCCCTAAATATTAACCGATCTTTACCAGAAACAATAGGGGTCTTCATTGGCCAGAACCCATCCTACATGCAAAATTTCGTGAAGATTGGTCCATAACTGTGGGCTGTATCGTGTTTACAAATTATAATGGACAGACGGACAGACGGACGGACACACATGTCTAGATCGACTCAGCTAGTCGTGATATGACGATCGGTATGCTTAAAGGTGGGCCTAGGACCAATATTTCGCGGCGTTACAAACTCTTGGGGCTGCACAAACCTATAATACCCTGACAACATAGTTGTGTAGGGTATAATAATCTGCTTAAATCAGGTCCCTTAGAACGCCAATATTTGGCTTTAGACGGAATTTAGAAAAAAATTACGTTATATCTCTACGCTGCTACCGATAACCATAACTATTTTCGAGAAAAAACAAACTAAAATTTATTACAACTTCTAAATTATTCCTCATTCACTTTAGCCAGACGCCAATGCCAAACTAGCTCACCATGCCGTTACAAATCTAAGCAAAACCGAAATCAAAACAAATATCATGGGAATTGCCTAATCGATTAGAATTTGTTTGTTGCTTTTGTTTTACTTTATGCGATCGTCTAAATTAAAAATTCCCACATCATCGTATGGAATGACATTGTAAGGTCTCTAACTCCAACCAACCAACCATCGAAAACGCTTAGCCTAAACAGTAGTCACCATGGAGTTATACTTACGATGTTTCTGGCAGCCATCGACATTTTCAGGCCAATCACAGCTGTGGGCATTCTCATTGTAGAGCAGACCGCCAATGCATAGCTGTTCGGTGGCAGTGCCATTCCAACAAGTCCAATAACGTGTACACGATGTTTCATGACCAAATATACCATACAACCAGTCGCAGTGTTCCGTTGAAATTGGACCATCTGTGGACGAAAAAAGAAGAGGAGAAAAAAATACAAATGAAATAGAAACAGAAGAACACAAAAATAACACATAAAAAACGTAGAATTATAATACAACAAAAACCACCAATACTCTTGGACACAATGGTGACCGGGTGACATTCACAATGTCCAACGGCGAATGATGGTGACACCATCATCCTCACCTGAGCGACCACCAGACTGAGATTAAAACCTGACTTCATAAGAATTCCAACTGGAGTGCGAGTGTGAGTGTCATCGAACAATATTGAGGTAAACAAATGTTGTTGCTGTCGTTGTAGTGGTAGCAATCACAATCGTAATGTTGTCGTAGTATGTATCAGTTTCATAAAAACATTTAGGTAAATAGATTTCCAGTAGAACATCGATCCAAATTGGCCAATCAGGAGTACGGATGGCGAGAGTGATAGGGGGACAGGGCGAAATAACAACATTCACAAAATGTATCTGCCTGAGAGTGAAGAATGAACGAATGAAGAACGTACATGCAAAGTGCATTCAATTGAATGTTTTTCTGGTTCGGTGATATGTTGTGGTAGTTGCTTCTGCTTCTGTAGTTATTGACCAAATGTATGCCAGCCATAAATTGTCTCTTTAATAGGTTTGTTGACGTTGTTGCTGATACTGCTACTGCTACTACTTATACTGCTGTTCTTGATGCTGTTACTCCTGGTGAACCTGTTTTAACCATTGGAGTCGGTATTTGTTGGTTTGTCCAGCAGCAGCATCACCCGTTAGCAATTGCCGTCAAGGCGAAGACAATGCACAGTGTTTAAATTCCCAATGGAGCATAATGTTCAGCATTTCTATTAATGTTATTATCTTGGAGACACAAGAATAAATGTCAATTTAAAAAAATAGTAGTGAACATCTCAAAATGAACGACAAATCGATAGGCGACTAGCATGCAGTCACATATGAACGCAAAACGTCGGCGATACAGTCCACAGTTATGGACCAATCGTCACGAAATTGTGCATGTTTGATAATGATCGATTAGTTTTAATGGATGAAATGGACCAAAAACTTTATTTTTGACTGTTTTTTAGACGCTCTAAGGTCAGAATTATGACCCGAACATCTCGAAATTTAACACAGAGAGAGAGAGGATTCTGACAAAGGAATTTGTATGACTGTTTTGGTGAAAATCGGTCTATTTTTTCACAAGACTTTTTGTGAAAAATTGAAAAAAATTGCGTATGTATATATTTGAGCCTGAAGCTATAGATCCATAAATTTGATAGTATATCAAAGGAGTGTTTGACCTTTAAATTGATGCCTATTAAATTGGTGTACGGGGTCTAAAGAGCGCTGATGGCTAAGAAATTTTGCATTATAATCAGGTTATTGTCAAGGACGACGTTTATTATTTTCGATGATGGTCAGAGGATATTTCGGGGATGAAATAGAACGAAACATTATTGTTGTCTGTATATTCGCTGTAGGTACCGCAATTATAAGCCGAACTAACTAATTCTAATAACTCCCATGGTAATGAAGGTTAATATTTATAGGGTCAAATGATGGCGCAGAGGAGTGTTAACATCTAATCGGCCATATATCCCGAAATATTTCCCAGGCTCGAAATATATATATATATATAATGCATCATATATATGCATAACAACCCGTTATCTGTCAAAAAAAAAATGGTTCGGGATGACCTGTTTATTGATTTGTCCATTATCGCAGCGGGTACTTATATAGCCTATTTTCTATATAATGAAGTTTAAAAAAATATTGGTAATTTGTAAATTAAGAAATGGTTGGTGCGCAAATCGATATGACATAAATAGGGTGACTATTTTATGTCACAAAATTGGACACCTTCGGACTAAGAGTGATTCTCAAGATTCTAGCTTCAGGCGTTTCGTCTGGGCGTTGATGAATCCTTAAGTCAGCCAGTAAGTCAGTCAATCACTTTACTCTTTTATTAGTTGAAATATGCTCCATATGGAATTATGCACCCGTGTACTATTTTTTATACCGGTCCACGTTTAGGCATAGCTCCCATATAAGGGTACCCCCAATTTTCGGTATTTTGGGGTTCTTGACCATGTTTTGCAACCGAATTCGCTGAAATTTGGTACGTTGGGTTCTTATTGGGTACTTAATGTCTCCACAAAAAATTATGAGTATAGGTCCACTTTTTCTTGTAGCCCCCATATAACGGCACCTCCTAATTTTCAGTATTTTGGGGGTTTTGCTCGTTTTTTACACCGAATTGGCTGTAATTTAGTATTTTGAGTTCTTAATAGGTTCCAAAACTCTCCACAAAAAATTATGAATATAGGTCAATTTTTTCGGGTAGCCCCCATATAAGGGTACCCCCGATATTCGGTATTTTGGAGTTCTTGAGCGCGTTTTTCAACTGAATTCGCTGCAATTAGGTATTTTGTAGTCGTATATGGTAACAAATCTCCCTACCAAACATGATTTATATTCGCCCCCTTTTTGGGGTAGTCCCCATATAACCCCCTTTTTTATATTAAAATGGTTATCTAATTTGTTCCGCGTTTTAGGTTTGGTTCTAAGAGTCTGTCGTAATCATTTAACCCGGAGGATATCGAGATAAAGCTAGAACGTAAGGTTCGATAATGAACTATACATGAACTATAACCCGCATTTAGACCTAGCCCCTGTGTGGGAGGTATCAGAAGGAGTGGACCGATAGTCCACATCTTCGAACCTGAACTAAGTTTGGAAGTAATAATAAGATAGACACAGGTTGGATGAAATCCACTTTTTGGTATTTTCCCTATATTTTCATTTCAAGTACCTGTCAGTATATCTATGGTGGAGGGTATCCAAGTTCGGCCCGGCCGAACTAACACTTTTTCACTTGTTGTCTCACTAAGTTTTTTTTTCTAGTGAAAAATAATCAATACCTAAGTACTCCGCCAGACTGAAAAAAACTTTCCTCTATAAACATGTGTAAAGAAACAATTCTATAGCCCTTAATGGCTCTTATTTTCTATAGAAAAAAATACTAATACTAATATTTTCTTATTAAAAAAAATGGGCAACACTTAAGGACTTAAAAAAATTGCCAGGATTATTTTTTTTTTTTTTTTGACAAAACATGATCTTCTCTCTGAAAAAATTGTAAGGGAAAAAATGCACAGCTCCTAAGACTCTTTTTCTTTATTATTGGAGTTTATTGAAAATGTGATATAATACAAAAATTTACTAACGGTTCGTGTTAAATTCGAAACGTTATTAGGCCGTTTGCAACACCTCGTTGTATTCACTGGAGAAATCATAAAGTTATATGTCCTCAATTTGATATTTTTTCCTATAACTCCTCTTGCGAACATAGGGCTTCCACTAAGCACCGCCATCGTACTCGGTTAGTTGTCGTTATTTTTTCATTATTCCAAGGTTATTTTGTCTTAGTTCTTAAATTATTGTCGCAGGTGTTTCTTGGTCGATCTCGATTTCTTGATCCTTGGGGACAAGCGACATTCTGGTTATACTATTGAAATTTTAATTCTGGTGTTAAGCCAGACTATTCTGCATATGATCATGATGCATCTGTTTATCAATACCTGTAGCATTTGCGTGATGGTATTTGACATCAGCCACTGCCGTATAGCAGAATCGGCTTTATACATGCTTCGAATATTTTATGCTTGGTTTTCCTGGATATATGTGAGCTTCTCCATACACCTTGCAGTCGTCCGAATGCTGCTCTCGCTTTTGTTAGCATTTTAATTACGTCTATTTCTGCATCACCACTTCTATCGGCGTAATTAATTGCCTGGCCTTGTAGAATGGTGTTTGCCGTACTGGTGGCCTTTGTTTTCTTGATATTAATCTCAAGCCCAACATTTGGTGCTAGTCTCTCCAGATCTTCTCTTTTTGACTGCGTTTTAGATATCTTGTGTGAGCGAAGGCAGATATCATCCGCAGAGTCTAAGTCTTCGAGCTGTCATGAGAGACTCCATGGTATGCTTTTCTCTGAGACTTCATTCATTATGCCATCCACTACAATTACTTCATCCAGTACAGTACCTGTTGATGTAGCTTCCATATAATTGTACCCTCAAATTTTGGCATTTTAAGGATTTTGCTATGTTCACTTTGATATTTTTTCTCTTGGTAACGATTGATCATGACATAGCAACCATATAAAAGTTTCGATGGATTTTAGGTATTTTGAATGTGCATTTCATGGTGGATTTTTTAAATATAATTATGTATTCATTATCCAAAAAACATAGAAATTGTTTTTTAAACTTTATTTTTATAACCTCAGCCTCAAGGGTGGTGGTAACGATAATTATCGAAAGGAGTTGCCGATTTAATAATAATAATGAGTTTTGTGGTCAATAGCAAACCCATTATCAACCACCATAAACATCGTATTTGTACTCCATTGATTTATTCTCTTCGCAAAAGGTGTATTCAGCTCTTGAAACAGGAGCTGTTGGTTACACCAATAGGCGTGGATTTTTTAAAGAATATTTTTTCAACGACCATCAGCAATAAGCGTGGATTTTTAAAAGAATATTTTTTCAACGACCATCAGCAATAAGCGTGGATTTTTAAAAGAATATTTGTTCAACGACCATTAGCAATAAGCATGGATTTTTAAAAGAATATTTTTCCAATGAATATTAAGACGTAGATGTGTTAAAGAATATTTTTTGAAGGACTATAGCAGGCGTGGATTTGTTAAAGAATATTTTATGAAGGACTATAGCAGGCGTGGATTTGTTAAATAATATTTTATGAAGGACTATAGCAGGCGTGGATTTGTTAAAGAATATTTTTTGAAGGACTATAGCAGGCGTGGATTTGTTAAAGAATATTTTTTGAAGGACTATAGCAGGCGTGAATTTGTTAAAGAATATTTTTTGAAGGACTATAGCAGGCGTGGATTTGTTAAAGAATATTTTATGAAGGACTATAGCAGGCGTGAATTTGTTAAATAATATTTTTTGAAGGACTATAGCAGGCGTGGATTTGTTAAAGAATATTTTTTGAAGGACTATAGCAGGCGTGAATTTGTTAAAGAATATTTTTTGAAGGACTATAGCAGGCGTGGATTTGTTAAAGAATATTTTATGAAGGACTATAGCAGGCGTGAATTTGTTAAATAATATTTTTTGAAGGACTATAGCAGGCGTGGATTTGTTAAAGAATATTTTTTGAAGGACTATAGCAGGCGTGGATTTTTTAAAGAATATTTTTTGAAGGACTATAGCAGGCGTGAATTTGTTAAAGAATATTTTTTGAAGGACTATAGCAGGCGTGGATGTGTCCGTCAAATATATATTTTGCAAATATATATTTTGCAGTCTGGTCACGTATTTCACCCACTCACAAACACACACAGAAAACCATTTAGCCGATAAACAGGATGTTTACACATGCGAGGTGTTTCAAAAGTGCTTTGAGGATTCGGAAATGGAAAGGAGGACCATTATAAAGGGGACATATTATTATTGACTAAGTAATAATACTTAAAAAATCACAAATTATGATCCCTCTTTTGGGTAAGTCTCAGATTTATTGTAATTGGAAGGGTCGGACAATTGGATTGGAAGGGTCGGACAAAACAATTTTCATGAGTTATGATATATATATATTTTTTTTTTAGAAGATTTTTTTTCATCTGAAAGACCACAGGATAATATTTTTTGTTTAATTTACTAGTGGATATAACCTTTAAATTTTGTGTATTTTGATTCGAAGTGTTTCTGGATAGATTATTACTCAATTTTCTACTATAAAAAAACCTTAACAATTTGATCTATGGTATCATATTATCTACCTCGATAGTGGCTTATAGAATTGTTTACGTAAAAAGATGACACATCCAGAGTAAAGCCTGCGAGTCTTTTTTCGTTTAAAACTCCAAAAAAAGAAAAAATATTCATAATCCCAGATTTTAAATCCACTGTGTAAGTGGTGGTGTCCACCACTCGACCTCTTGGCATTTTTCAACATAACCAATTTTCTCTGAACAACATATTTGTCCATTCGAATCATGCCAAATTCCAAGCAAAAACGAAAAAACTCCAACGTATGGCAGTAGAAGAAAAAAATGTGTTTTGCACAAATCTTTGAAAGCAATTCACCAGTGAGTGGTCCATGAGTAGTAGAAGGGTAAATGGTAGCTAGAATCGATGGATAGATGAATTGAACTGTTGTCGTCTTGTTAGGGGGCTTCAGTGAAATTGTTGGTATTTTGAACGACTTTGTTGTTGTTTGTGTTATAACTGGTATTTGCCGGTCACCTAAATAATGCTGGAATCAAAAAAAAAAAAGTATACTCCATCCAATTGACCATAGGTTCATTTGTTGTACATCATAGAATAAAAAATGTAATACCTATGTGAACAGCAACAACAACATCCAGTTTACCAAATTAATCTATTAGCACAGCAATTTTCTAAACGAATTGAGTTTTTTTTTGTATGTATGTCCTTAGTTTTTTACAATTCTCTTCTCTTTTTTAGTTGGGTTAAAATGTTTTTTCTTCGATTTTCTTTTCTGCCGAATTTTGTTTTTGGGAAATTGCAAAAAATAGCTCAACATTATGACCATAATTGGATTTTATGATTAACTTAGTATTGCTTTTTTTCTGGAACAGCTGTAAAGGACTCGAAAAACATAACCACTACACACAAATACTTCTTCTTTAATTTTGATTCTTAAATCTTAAATATACGGCTTAAGAATTAAAATGTACTCTTTAAATTCCCTCTGCAAAAAAAAAAAAAAAACAAAAACAAAAAATGGTACTGTTCTCCCTTGTGATACTTACTCGCCATTTGTTTGTCCTCACAATAGTTGGCACGCCATGGATAATCACAGCCTTCCGTTACACCACGATGTTTGCCAGCAAATACCAAACCATTTGGACAATCGTACAATTCCGGTTGATTGTTGACACATTCCCAATAGCGATCACAATAGGTGACATCACCGACCACACGTCCTTTCACTTTACATGGATCCTCCTGATTTGGTTTCAATTGTTGAGCCAGGGCACCCGAACAGACTATTTTTTGAGAGAGGAGGAAAAGAAAAAAGAAACTTTTAGTAAATGGAAACAAGTAAAAAAAGCTTAAAGAACAAAATATTGTAAACGGTTGTTTTTATACTGAAATAAAAAATAAAATAATAGATGGCGTTCAATACATATCTCCAACCTTGATTATGAAAAATATCAGTTTGAGTAAAGCAATTTTGTACTATGAAACATGATTACAAATTAACTTTACGTGCTTATAAAATCTTTTTTTCATAACCTCAGCCTTATTTTAATATTGGTATAATGTATCATTTTTCCGTCTAGTACCTGAACATTTGTAAATCGCATATGAAGCGAACGGAATGTCCAATTTAATCGATACTTTGCACATCGTTATGTTTTTATCTTGCGTGGATAATGTAAGGAATTTCGTCTAGAATGTTTTTGTTATGTTTGAAATCGGTTCAGATTTAGATGTAGCCCTATATACATTTTAGTCCAATTTTATACAGGTGCACCATAGATCCGGTTCGATTTGCACTATATTTCCTTTAGATTATTTATTGACCTGTGTTAAGCTGAAATCGGTCCAGGTTCTATATTTATGTCATATAAATGGTGTACCAAATAACTAAAGTTTGTCAGATTGGATCAAATTTGTGCACAACGTACAGAATTGAACCTAGAATAACGTGTATTGAATTTTTTAATATGTAGATATAACCGCTAAATATTTACGTCTCAGTTCATGAAAATTGTGCACCAAATAATAAACGTTTCTCCGATTTTGGATAGCGCATGGTGGTGCAGCATACCCAATGTAACTCCACAATTTCTAAGGAATATTTTCATTACATAATCCTAAGTTTAATATTTTTATGGTCTTATTTATTAAATTTGGCACACTTTCAACCAATTTCAGTATAATTTCATTAGGAATATCATCACAGATCCGATCCGAAAGCTCGCCTAAATTTGTAGAGGCTGATTGGTACTGTCCCACCTGTCTCTTTACGATTGTCCACAAATTATCCTTCGGATTGAAAATTTTGCTCACCAATATATTCTTTCACGATTTTAAACGTGTGTCTTGAATCACGGCCCTGATCAAAATTACTTCTTCTACATGATAGGCGTTCTTATCTACCAAAATCCGCAGATATGACTCTACAAGGCATTCAATAGACATCTTTCACTATTATATTATCAATTTTGTTTTGCATCGGTCCAAGGTCCTACAAGTTAAGGCCAACCCATACCATGACGATCCTCAACCGTGCTTCACATTGCGCCTTCGAATTAGTTTTCATCAGCAATAATGTTTATCGTCGAATTGAAAACTTTTCAATTTGGATGGGAAGGATCCGATCACACGCTCTCAGTCTACCACTGTTCAACATTTAGGCACAATTTGTATACTCTGACATTGAATATTTTTCCGATAATGCAGGTTTTTTGTTTTTTACTGCTGCTATAACCAATGACGGGAAGGGTTCTACACGCCGTCTATCGACTAAGAGGTATGACGAGTATTAACGAAGCAGATTGGTGTTAAAACGTATTAATTTACATTTTCCATTTCATTAGACGTGGGTCCACACAACATAGAACCGTTTTGCGGCCGCTAATCTGACGTGCAAAAGCGAGTGCATACGAGTTAATTCGCGGAGTTACAAACTCTTGGGGCCACATAAAGATATAATACCCTTACAACATAGTTTTGTAGAGTATAAAAAATATGTCCGGTATATTTGAGTTTGTCAAAGTATTATATTTATTTTCAATGAACTTGCGGGAAATAACCTCAAACTGTATTAATTTAATTTGTCATAAGCCAATTGCATGCCATGTGTTTCCTTTTTTTCCAATATTCGTTGAAACTGTAACCATAATACTTTTTCTTAGCAAAAAATCTAATAACATTTAGCTAATTTCGTACATGTGGGTTAACTAAAAACAAGCTTTTCCTAATTGAATTACTCAGATTGTTAGGATTGAAATATTTCGTTTGCCCTAACCATTTGTTATTATTTTCTGCAACAACAACAACAAAAATACGTAGACTTTTCTTTGATAAAGAAAATTTGAAACTAATTTCCGTAAAACTTTCCTAAGTTACTTACACCATAACTGCTTATGTGTGTTGGTGTCCATTTGGATTTATGGTCAATTTATAAAAGAAAATGTTGTTTAGATTACCTGTAATTTAATACACTTTTTGCCATTGCGTTATATGGCAGAGATTATTTTTTTCATGGAAGTTTATTTGGCTTATTTGCAAAGGGAAAATATAGTGTTTTGCCAAGATATAGAGTTTTTGTTTCGTATATTAGCTAATTGTTTTATTTGATACAGTCTCATGGTTTGAATTTGTAATTGATTTATGCACAAATGAGAAAGAAACACCTCTTACTGCATTTTAAACAATCATTTCACTTTTAAACAATCATTCCTGAAGCCAAAATTTTATTATTCATAACATATCGGTCCATCATATATTAGTATGAAGAAATTTCCTTGTTTGAAGTATTCTTAAGGAATTGGTCACATTTCTATATCGAATTGACCTTGATGAATAAAGTGGTGACCAAAAATTGCCGTGTGTTGAAAGTGGTAAAATAAAGTAAATTTAACAGAATCTTATCAGTACTTTAAACGAAAACTATTTCAAGTCAATTCCTTATTTGTCGCTCAAACTATAATTTTCAGATTTGTTTTTAGTCAATGATGCAATAAACTATAAATATCGTCCGAAATTAACACTAGAAAGACGGGAATTTTTTATATACCTATATTGCCTAAAATCGGTCAAAATGACCTCATTCTGAAAGAATTTTTATTGTGTAAAGACATTTTTTAAACTAATTTTTTAATATTTTTTACATTATTTACAATCATACAAAACCTTGTTATTATTTGTTTTCGGTGGTAGGGCTCTCGAATTTCCCCTTTTGAAAAATAAGAGCGCGGACAAAATGTTCGAAAAAGAGGAAGTCTTTACTCTAAGAGTGAAATCGACTGGAAATATAAAATTTATTTTTCCCGATTTGTATGTTCGTTTGTGTTTCTAGAGTAGCAAACGGGTTTCGATGTTGTTGTACTGATCTGGTCATGTAAGAAATTTACTTTATACGATAATAAAAGTAGTTCGATTATTTAGAATTTCACAAAAGGTCAAAATGACCGCTTTTAGGCAATATAGGTATAGCACATGTGAATACGGAGAATGAAAGAGGGGAGGAAGCAGCTACTATGATTAATAAACGTAGTTCCATGTGGTACAAAAAGTCACCAAAATTTAAAAAGCTGGGTCATAATATACCCAATTGTTTTTGTACTTGAAATTGAAAAACGGTCAAAATGACTGCCTTCGGCAATCTAGTGTTAATAAAAACACAGCGATTTATGCTAACTGAGGCCTTCATATTCCATTAAACACATAAAACCGAGTATACCTCTATGTCAATGTGCCGGTATGGATACGTTAAAAGTGTCTATAATTCGCAGATGATAAAAAGCTCTCGGCTGATAATTAATAATGACATTACCCACTTATAACAGTGTTTACTAACTAATAATATCGAAAATAGGTCGGAACTTTTTTAACAACCGCCACTTTCCACTCACTCTACAGTGGTTAGTTTTGCATTTCATTGTTTCCTTATTTAAAACACTGCTACCGATCTCTTCATTGGTGTTCTTGAATTCGCATATGCATTTTGCAAATTATTTCGATGATATGAGGAACAAGCTCGAACTGAATAATCACGCAAAACATGAAAATGTAAGTAAATAAATAAAAAGAAACAATTAAATGCATAACAAAGAAGATGACAACACAAAATCAAATGTATAAAGAGTTTATGTGTCATATAAAACCTGCCACCAACAAATGAATTTTTATACTCTCAGCCTTACACATTGACGGGGCCGACCATACGATACCCTACACAACTACTACGGAACTCTAACTTTCTGTGGTTCTACATTCTGAGCTTGGGCAATATTTCGCGATATTTGCACCCTCTTTACCGACTAGAGGATAACAAATTTTACAAATATTCAGTACAGCCCTTCTAATCACTTGTTCAAATTCCCTTCACCGTGGGTTGTGTCGTGATGTTCGGCCTTCAATTTTGCCCTATAGATCGACTCGAAAAAAACCCAAAAAATAAGTTTTCGGTGCATTTCATCCCAAAATTATTATCTGATCATCTCCGAAAACTATAGGCGTTGTCGGTGACCAGAACTTGAACGTCAAGGCAAATTTCAAAGCGATCAGCGCTATATTTCCCCCTCTAGAGTGATAATGGGTTACTAAATAATATATGAATACGTAAGCACCTGTATATATTTATGTATAAATCCCGCATCCGAGTACAAGCTGTCAACTTCTCGGGTCTAGGACGTTTAGGTGCAAATATATACCTCATAGAATACAAATTTTGTAATTTTTCACACAATAGTCAGGGTCCAGTTGACCCGCTAAATATTGACCGATGTTTATCAAAACAGGCATACTTATTCTTTGGTCCAATCCCCTTCTCCGTGCAAACAATCGCGGTGTTTGGGTCATAATTACGGCCTCTGGAGCGACCAGAAAAACCGACAAAAATAAAGTTTTTGGTCCATTTCATCCCCTAAATATTAACCGATCTTTTCCAAAAACTATAGGGGTCTTTATTGGCCAGAACCCATCCTACATGCAAAATTTCGTGAAGATTGGTCCATAACTGTGGCCTGTATCGTGTTTACAAAATATTATGGACAGACGGACGGACGGACACACATGTCTAGATCGACTCAGCTAGTCGAGATATGACGATCGGCATACTTAAAGGTGGGTATAGGACCAATATTTCGCGGCGTTACAAACATTTGGGGCTGCACAAATCTATAATACCCTGACAACATAGTTGTGTAGGGTATAAAAATTCAAACAAAAAAATTAAGTGAAATAGAAAACCATCGTGATCTAAAGACGAGTATGGGTGTCCCCTTTATTGATATATTACCCATGAAAATGT